GTGCCATAATCTAGAAGAGTATGTTATGATCCTTCCCCCACTCCCCTCGCGGGTATTTACTTCTTGCTTTGCTCGTTATGATGATCTAATTTGTACCTGGTCACATCTTTTACATTCATCTGATTATTACTTTTTTCATGTTCACAACTTTAAAGGGAAAGACTTTCAGAGACACATTTCCTTAAAGTCCTATGGAAGAAAATGCCTAGCTTCTTACGTACACATGATGAGAAGGCAGGTTTTATCTGTGGTAAGGAGAAGTTGTGCAGCTTTTTTCTGGGTGGACTTTATTGGGCAGTTATGAAGATCTGTGATAACCCTTTGAGCTATGAAGGGTTTGAGGAGGGTCTTGGGGGTGCTGTGTATGAGGAGATACTGGTGAGACAAGGTTTTTCCAATTCCTAGGCTTCGTTGAGGACTACAGAATATTAATGTAAAGGTGTCATATTTTTTAATATCGCACTGCTCAGCTGTGGGTTGATGAGTTTGCTTTCATGTTGCATGTTGCTGGGCATCAATGTACAGTTTATTTCAAGCTTTGAGAGCCCATGTATCTTGAGCTGCCTTTATGCTGAAGAAGGATGACAGTGTCTGAGCTGATACTTTGATGACTGGATCTTAATCAGAGCAGTATATTGCTTATGCTCTTGAGCAAATTTTACTTTTCTTCAGTGTAACATGATGAGCAGGGAAATCTCTTTTCATTCGTCCATGTCGTGATCCTTTTTCTCAGATTAGGAGAAGATGTCTCTGTGACTTTTCTTCCATTGGTGCCTGCCTACAAAGTCAGCTTCTCCTTCCCATAGTGTTTGGGCAGGATGAAAAATTCTGTCTGTCCAAAGACAGGGCTGGTAAAAAAAGCCTGGTATAGTTAGAAATGTCTTAAAGATGCAAAAATGGTGTAAACGTTCAGGATTTCCTAGTTTTCATATGAGGCCCACAGTCATGGTTCCATGCATTTCCCATCTTTTCTTGTCCAAAGAAATTACACTGAGGAACTGCAGCTATGGTCCTTGGTGTGAGCTCCTGTGTGACTGTTCCATGGACTTTTTACCAAGTGGATACCCTTCTTGTGTACCCACTGCTGTTCAAATTATCTCAAATGTCAGGCTAGTGGATCTTGCAGAGAAATGTACCTCCACTTCCTGGTAAAGGTTCATGGCCTGATCATGGGGCACATTACAAGTGTTTTATCTTAGCAACTGGTGTTTTGTTCTTGCAAATTATGTCAGAGAACACCATGAAAGTTTTGAAGAGTTGGAGAAGAGAGTCCCTACTCTGAGTACCTGTGGCTATGATGGACTTTTTACCAATTAGATATCCTTCTTTTTTATCTACTACATTTGGTGTAATCTGAAATGTTAAATAGGGTGCCTTCAGTTTTTAAAGTTTCCCATTTTTGCCATGCTTGTCATGCCGGTCTAAAGCTGGGCCTCATTTTAGCTGGGAACTCTTAAAACATTAAAAGATCTCTAATAATGGTTTTGCTGGGGAGCAGTATCCATCCATAACTTCAAAGTGTTCAGCTGCCAAGACAAAGCCCTTCATAAACTTTTATTTTCCTCAAATATCGCTGGATTACATGTGCTTTCCCTTGAGGCTGACATACAGTCAAAATACTGGACATTATCCATGGTGGAACCAAAGGCTGTGAATGCAGAGCAATGAGGGTGAGAGGCTGACTTTGAACCAGGAAAACAGGTGAGACAGAAAATAGGTGGGGTCTGCTGAGAAATTGTTTGATTTCATGCCTGGTTCCAAGGCCAATGCCATTTCTGCTCTGATCTTCCTTTCCCTGTCCTGAAAGACCAAGACAGTACTCCAGTAATAAAGTATTTCCACAATTACTGTGCATGCAGATCCATGATGCATGTGTAGAACCGCTTGTAATTCCCGTGTGAAGCCTCCTTTAGCCACCTGTATCTCTCTGGAATGCCGCAGTGTAGCGTTTCTTTGAACTTGTATTTATTTGTAATTGTAATTACAGTTTCTTTCAAGCCATTCTTTTCTGGAAGGTCATGGCTTTTTTTTTTTTTTTTTTTTTTTTTTTTTTTTTTTTTTTTTTTTTTTTTTTTTTTTTTTTTTTTTTTTTTTTTTTTTTTTTTTTTTTTTTTTTTTTTTTTTTTTTTTTTTTTTTTTTTTCCCATTTCTACTAAATACTTTTGCATTTGAAAGTGTGACTGTGACTTTGCAGCAAATCCTTGCTTTAAACTCCTCAGAAAGAGTTTTGTGTGTGAGGAAAAACAAAGCAGCAGAAGAAAGAGCATCTGCTGTAATTTCTGAAAAGATTGAACTTAAGAAATAGGCCCATAATAAGGTGTTTTCAATTACAGCTTCATATTTGTGTAAGGTGTACACACCACAGTAAGACTTTAAGGGTCACACTTGCAGCTTGACACCTGAATGACTTCCAGGTCCTCTCAGGGAGGAATTTCCATACCCACAGACTGAGAAGACTCTGTATCAAGCCTCCTTTTTCTGGTGCTTCCTTGCCTTGCTTGTCTGACTTATATTCTCGATTTTCTTTTCTTGATTTTCTATGTATGTAGGTTTACTTTTAATTATCGCCATAGTTTCCTTTAGAAGCACATGGTTGCCTCTTACTCATGCTACAGCAGGTGTGAAAGGCAGGAGGTGTGAGCGTGTCTGTGTGTTCAGATTTTCTGGAGAGGAATAGGTGAAAGTATAAGCTTAGTAGAAGCAGAACAGTGCATGTGATAAAAGAGAGTGGATTCCCCCTACCCCATTAGCTTGTTGAGCCATTCTGGGTTTGATAACCACTCTTTTTTTATGCTGGCCTTTTACTCCTTGTGTGCTTTAGAATCCTTCCGTTTCTTCTCAAAATGATGATGAGCAGATAAATGTACTTCCCTTCTAGGTGTAATTATAGTGCTTTATCCTCTAATGATATATTCTTGCCAGTTTTGAGAAGGTTAGGAGCAAACTGCCAGTTGTGTGGGGCTGGAGAAAAGACAGGGGAGCTCTAGGAGGTGGAACTGTAGAAGAACAGACGGTCATTTCTTTATCTGTCGTAGTTAACACAGTTTGTACCTGAAGGAGGACCATGCCTTTGATTTGATTCTGCTCAATAAGTTTGTCTTAAGAATATTATTCCACCTGATCCATACAAGACAATAAAAATGTTTCCATATGTAACTATCATTAAAAGGAGGGCTAAGGAGAATGTCCATCCTTTCTTGGATGTGAAAGGTAAGTACAGTGACAAAGACTGAGGAAAAGGCTGAGGTACTTAATGCCTTCTTTGCCCCAGAATTTAATAGGAAGATCTAGTTGTTCTCCAGGTACTTAATGCCCTGAGCTGGGAGACAAGAATGAAGAGCAGAATGAAGTCCCCATAATGCAAGGAGAATCCAAGTTTGCAGCAACTTGCTATACCACTTAGTCATATATGAGGCATTTACACTTATAACTTCATATTCATAGGAAATGAACAGGCCACAACCTAGAAAATATCACAAGGACTGGTGCATTTCCAGAAATGAACTACATAGCCTGAAATAAAGGCTTTAGGTCCTCATTTGTGGGTTCAGAACTTAGTGTCTTCCAGGTGAAGAGTGGCTCTAGAAGATTATTTTTCAAGGCAGAGTTATGGTAAAGTACTTGTATATTTGCCTAATTTCAGCCAGCAAAACTGTTGGATTTTGGTTTTTAATATTCAGAAATGAGTGAGGGACTTGAGCTACCCACTGCTGACTCCAAATGCATAACAAACATAAAGGTCAAGGAACATTATTGCATAGCAGCAATCACCTCTGATCTCCCTCTGGTAAACTCCACAACATAGTAGAGACTGTAAAGCTCTGCTGGCCAATTCCAGCTACCAGAGGATTGTTCTTATGTCTTTGAGGACTACACATCTATGTGCCCTTCTGTGTGATTTCCTACATTGTCCAGGCCCAAATGTGTCTGATAGTGTCTAGAAGTTAATAACTAGCCCCATGTCGGCCTGCAGGAAGTATTTGGCTTCTTTCTGAAGTGCCAAGAAGTGTTGTTCTTCTGATAAAAAGGAGATCTGATGGTAGTAAAGTCATTCAATTTAGTCAAGAGAGACTTAGTAGCCCCCTGAAATCACTGCAGCTTGCCTAGCTTACACCTTGAGGCTTCAGTGAGTTTCCAAGTACTCTGGGCATGAACATTCATGACAGAGTTGTGGAAAAAACAATGAAAAACCACATCACAGAAGTTCCTGTCCCAGTGAGGTCAGAAGAAAGTTTTAGGCTTCTGTATGAGTTGTAAGAAATTGTTGAAAGGCATTCAGCTGCTCATGCTGCTCTTAGATTGACTTTTGCTGAGAAGATCTCCAAATCAATGAGATAGAAATGTGAAGTTGATTTTTAGAGCAGGCCCTGGACTTCAGGGTTTCCACCAAGAAAACAGAAGGTTTCTCTACATGGAAGAGAGGTCAGTGTCTGGGTGTGAACTTGGTTTTTCATTTTCCCGTGGCTGGTGTGTACAGTGACATTGATTAGGACATGGGCAGGAGGATGAAACATCAAAGGCAGAAAAAGGTTTGGCAAGAAATTATTCAGTTTTGAAAAGGAGGAAGAGCAGATATTGGATCTTTCAGGATTTCCTTCTTCCTCTCTCTTGCCCTCTGAAATAGGCATAGGACTTTAGACAAACTAGCATGCCTTAACTGCATTGGGAGTGAACGTTCTACTTCTGGATCTACACAGTGTTTAGCCCACTGACTTCCTTTTCTCACAGGTGCTGGGAAATCAGTGATACACATAATCTCTAAACCATTTGCGCATGATATTTTCAGATTTTTTACTTCAGTTCCTTGACGGTTCCTAAGGGAACACACTGCTCTGCTACACGTATTTTCTTTATTAGTTTTTGTGCCATCTAAGGCCTCAAGATGTAAGAGTCTGTGGCAGAGAATAAGAATATTCTTATATTCTTATATGTGGTAGTTAAAAGCCACATACCTGCTTTTCATTATAAGACTACTACTGTTACTAAAATCTTCAGGTTTCATGCTAAACATTAGGCAAAAGCTTCTGCGCTTGCTGATAATACTAGAACAGACACCCCATAGCCGGTGCAGCCTCCAGCGCGGCGGAAATGCGGATCCCTTTGAGCGCGGCCCAAAGGCGGCTGCAGTGCTGCGGCGGCGCCTCCGGGTGTCGCTGTTGGCCGCCGCCGAGCGGCGCTGGAGCCGCAGCCGCCGCCGCCGCAGCGTCCTGCCCCCGCAGGCTGCTCGCTCGCCCGGCCAGTGGCGGCCAGAGCGGCAGCGGCACGGGCAGCAGAGGCGAGAGGCG